GGCGGATTTTTTGGGCGCGATCTCACCGCCACATCTGGGAAGCGTAGAGCTCCCATGGCTTCCCGCCGAAGATGCAGGGTAAAAAACTAGTACCTCGGAGGTACTAGTTTCCGGAAACTGCAGGGCAAGGGCGGGTGTCTGATCGCATTTCCGGTGGTAGTTCCGGCGCCCGCCCATGTCCCCTCGCAAAAAGGGTTTTTTCCCCAAGTCTCCATGGATGCGCACAAGCACCCAATGGAGCATGCGCACATTTCAGTTTTAAAAAACCCCACAACCCCGTTTGCTGCGCCGCTCCACTTTTTTGCCGCTTCGTGTGATCGGCACCTCCCCCATAACCACGGGAACTCGACGGGATCTCAACCCGACACCTGATCGCGCAGTCGCACGTTAGTTTGCTCCAGGGCAAACAGCCACGCCTCCCCCCCCCCCCCCCCCTTTTCTTCCTGCCCGTGTGGCCGAGGCCAATAAAAAGTGAAGAAATTTAAGTTAAATTTTTATTTTAACTAGTTATGTGGGCTATTTTGAAAAAATACTCCAAGTATGTCACAAGTTAAGAAAAATGTGACGAAATCTGGCCTGATCTGTACACTCTATTAAATTTGGGTTTTGATTGTACCACAAAACTTACATATGATACATGAGCTTGCTATAAACACGAAGCTTATGCTGTTAAAAGGGCCAATACAACACTTAGTATAAATTCCTGTCCAAAAAGAATATATTACAAAAGTGAAAAGGAACAACAAGCTTTCCAAGAACAAGGAGTTCTCTGGCACCTTGAAGAATAACAGTTCAACAGCAAGAATACTAGAATCTACTTTTTCCAAATCCAGTTCTTCCAGGTAAGAGAAGATGTCACTGCTTGTCAGCAGACTACACTCTTTGCATGCAGATTCACAGGTTCACATGCCAGCATCTCCCAGCTAAAAGGATCTTGAGTAGTGGAGCTGAAAACAATATATGGTTAAAACTGGGGAGGTACAACGCCAGTCAGAGTACATGAGCCTGAGCTAGGTGGATTAATGGTCCAACTCAGTGTAAGGCAGATGCTATGCACAGTTAAATGGAATTAAGCCCCATTACGCCCATATGCATAGGATTAGATTGACCGCCACTGAAACTCTCTGGACAATGGGTCTGGAAAAGCTTTTCAGTGGGAAGTCAGTAGCAATTCTGACTGCAGTTTTTTTAAAAGAAAAAAAATCTCTACCTTCACCTGTCTGGTGGAGGTAAAACAGGATGTAGAAGAGCAAAAAGTGATTTTTTTAAAAAAAAAAAGAATGGTTGCTGCAGCTCTCATAGCCCTATTCTGAGCAGAATTGGGCATGCTTAAGTACATTCAATTCAGTGGGCCTAACCTTCATAGGACCAGGGCTATAAGACCTGCAAAGAAAGCATTAGCTGACTAGGTGTCTGTGTGTGAAAAACATCCTGCTGGCACGTAGGGCAGCTATTTTCTGGAAGACCGTTCCTGTACTTCAGATAACCAAACATGAACAGCAGCAAGTTTTCAAGACTTTAGTAATCACATTTTGTGAAATTTGTAACAAAAGATGATAAGCTGTCCACTGTTTAACATTGAACACTTGTCATGAGTACATAAAACCCTCTGTGATGTTGGCCAAAGAGACAGGGCCGCAGAGTGATATGCCTGTGAATGATCAATTGGTTTGCTGTAAAAAGGCAAAATTTGATGTTGTTCAAAAGGCCTCCATTTTGAATGGATGAGCCAAAATTAGAATCCTCAATGTACAGAAAAAAAACCTCTAACCTCCTTTGTAAACTGTTCCTTGTGTCAATCATGAGGCTACATTGAAAATTTCTTCATGAAAACATCCTGCATCTCCCAAAGACATCAGGAGGCAGCCATCTTTCAAACCCACGGCAAATGGCCATGGCTCAATGCTAGAGCAACTGTTTGGAATGCGGAAGGTCCCAGGTTCAATCTTCAGCATCTTCAGTTTAAATAATCAGGTGGTAAGAAAGTAAGAAGAGCCTGGAGAATTGTTGCCAGGTCAAAGTAGACAATACTTACTTAGATGAACCAATGGTCTGATTCAGTATAAGACTGCTTCATGTCTTCAGAAAATATTTCACACTAATCTGCCATAAACACAAGGGGCAGCTTATTCCTGGAATACCTGACTTGCCTGTCTTAATCACTGATGAAACTATGTTGTTGCATACACTAGAACCTCTTGTATCAAAGACTATTCAACAGCAGATTAAATATACATGCTTCTGAAATAATTTGAAACATTGGAGAACTTGATGCTGTCCTCTCTTACTCCCAAAATCTACAGTCTGGGACACAAGATCCATGCAAACTTACAGTATGCAAAGCTTTTTTTAAAATAAATAAATAAATAAAGCACTAGAGTTTACTGAGGCTTGGTAATTTGGGGGCAAATGACAGAAATAGAGACCACCACTTTTAAGAAGCTCCTCTTTAAGAAGGTCTTTGTTGGGATAGAAGGGCTTTTTTAACATCCTTTTGAGTTATCAGCAGTAGTGTCTTCACAGCATAAAGAAGCTGATCCTACTAGTTTTCTTTTGCTTGCTTTTTTGCATGCTGCTCAGAATGGAAGGAAACCTCCATCTGAACCATGGATTCCAATAAGGCAATAACAGCTATGTATACATTTGGCTACTGCCAACATATTCAGTACTCTGTACATATTCAGTACAGAGCTCAGTACTGAGGAAAAAGATGTACTTAGTTGAATTTTGAGGCTCCCAACTTGCCCGCTCTTTTCTGCCCCATACCATATCCTAATATTGATGGGATGCAGCATCTGTTTGAACATTTCTTCGAACACAGAGAAGTGCCTGAACACAGAGATGCCATTCATACAGATGTTCTGTTATGAAGTGGCCCACGATAACAAGTCAGGTGTGCTCCCCCTGCCTCAGTGCACCAATTCATCATACTAATGCATGACCATTCCAGCCTTCTGTGCAATATAACCAATGCAATTAAAGTAATTGCACTCACTAAACCCTCACACACACCTCACAGAGGCATCACTTTGGCAGTTTCAGTGAACAGCTCTTCAGTACATGAAGAACAACACAGAAGATGATGATCCTGTCAACTGGGGCTGGAAGACAGGAGAAGAGGAGGAACTTAGAAATCTGTGGAGTACTTCCAGGAACTGCATAAAATAACAACGAAATTTATATGGCAAGGGAAGAAACCTAGAATAAAATTGAAGGCTTTACAAGACTTTAAAGAGAATGCGGACTTTGGCCTACCAGACTGGGGAACTTACTATAAAGCATGTGAATTGACGTGGATTGGAGAATGGATAACAACTGAAAATACTAGACTGTTAAAACTTGAGGGACATGATTTAAAGCTAGGATGGCATGCCTATATTTGGTACCAAAAAGTGGATAATCACAAATATTTTAGAAGCCATCTGATAAGGAAAACATTGCTGCCACTATGGGAAAGAATCAGACATAATATTAAGTGGTACATAACTCTAGAGAAATTAACCAAAATGTACCCTGGAATGTTTGATAAGTGCTGGAAATGTAAGATAAGGGTGGGGTCCTTCTTTCATGTTTGGTGGAAATTTAAAGATGTGATGATATATTGGAAAAGGGTTAATGAAATGTTGCAAAAACTATGTCTGACACGGATACCATTTAAACCAGAAATGTTTTTGCTTAATATTATGCCTGATGTAAAAGACAAGAAAGTTAAGCACTTAATTATACATGTAGTTACAGTAGCAAGAATCACCTAAGCTAGGTATTGGAAGAAACCAGAGATACCAACAAAAGATGAACTCTTGACAAAAATCTTTGAAATAGCGGGAATGGATACATTGACAGACTCGTTGAAAGATCAAAGTAAACAAAATGTGAAAGAAAATTGGACACTATTTTATGAATGGGTGAAAAGAAACTGTGGAAAGGAAGATCATGAATAATGGATTACAGTTATTATAACCTAGGATAAATGTAATTTGAACTGTAAAGAATATGTACTTTTACAAGAACCATAATAGAATATTTTAGAGACTGGTGTGAGCGCTTACAGATTTAGAAAGTATATAAATGAAAAGAAGTATGGAAACAACGGTTCAAGATGGAAATTTTAACAGCTATTATTTAAGCTCGATAGAAATTCCCTTGATGTCTTATCCCCTTCCCTCCCTAAATGTCTTATATAATTAGTGAAAATCAAATATATATTTTTAAAAGAAATCTGTGGAGTACTGGGGCTGGAAGACAAGAGAGGAGGAACTTAGAAATCTGTGGAGTACGCAGTCTCCATCTTCTCAGAACCTTTAACAGTTCGTTTCTCATAATCGCAAGGTTCACTGCATTTGGTACGAACACATAAAACTGGTCTTTGGTGTACTTTGCTTCATGTGTATGGAAGAGAAACAACAACCCACTTTAGGTGCAAGAATACCTCTTTCTGTTATGTCTAGACAGTACATTTCTCCAGCACACAATCTGCACTACTATTAAATCTTGCTGATTTGTTCCAATGTATTGCTTGCTTAAAACAATGCTTTGTAATATTTTTACATTAAAAGAACCCGCTGGAACAACCATACCATATCCTAATATTGATGCATATCAATTTAATCCTTTAGCTTTCTTTGTTGCTTTCTTGTATATAAAACACTGAGAGCCAAAACCATTAGCTCTATATCACACACTCTCCACCCCTATCCAACACATGAATTTTCTGGTCCCTAAATATTGAGAATGCATCCCACTCACACTAATAAGAGATTAAGAGTTTCGGACATGGCACCTGACACGTCCTTCATATTAGGATGATTAATGTCAGGGTGGGGGTCATGGATGGGGTTACAAATGCTGTCCCCTATGATTTTTTGAATTAGGTCCTAATGTCATATGAAATTTGTGGCTGGTATCTGGAAATGCACTGCTTTGCATCTTGAGCACACTTTGACGACACAGTATCGGAAGAAAATTGGAGCAGCCAGCAATTCTTCAAGTGCAGAATTTACCTGATGGAAATCTTTGCCGCTACTTTTACCATCGCCACTGAAATCCACGTGCGAGAATAGGCAGCGTAGTAAATGCCTGTCTGCCTCGGGGCCGTGCCGATTCACAATCTGAGGAGGAAGGAAAGGCTAACATAAATAAAGCGAAACACCAGAACATTTGCAACTGAAGGAATTTTATGTATTAATACAGTTGAGGAAGAAGGGAAAACACTGATTTCCAAACCATGTAATTTCAGGGATGGCTCACCTGTCCGTCTGCCTCACAAACAAGGAAGTCATCCATGCAAACGTACTTCAACAGCACCTGCATATCAAATACTAATGACCTGTACAACTGAAGTGTTTCTCAAGCTGTTTACAACACCTTGGACAGCAAGCACTTGTAAGCCTACTTGGCTTTTGCTTCTAATGAAATGAACAGTCAGGCAGATTCAGTAGCCACTGCTAACAAGATGCCAATATGTTTCAACACGAGGCAGAAATCCTGGCCCAGTCACCAAGCTAGATTCTGACTGTGCTGCAAATCCTTTCTGCTACATAAAGTCAGGACAGAAGTGTTGTGCTTTTACATAGAACAAAATCATAGAATCACAGAGTTGGAAGGAGCCATACAGACCATCTAGTCCAACCCCCTGCCCAATGCAAGACCAGCCTACAGCATCTCTGACAAATATTCGTCCAGCCTCTTCTTGGAAGCTGTCAGTGAAGGGGAGCTAATCACCTCCCTAAGCACTCTCAAAGCACCTTTGAACCACTCTGACCGTGAAAAAGTTTTTCCTAATATCCAGCTGATACCTTTCTGCATGTAATTTAAAGCCGTTGCTTCGGGTCCTATCGGGTCCTATCCTCTGCTGCCAACTGGAACAGCTCCTTGCCCTCCTCCAAATGACAGCCTTTCAAATATTTAAAGAGAGCAATCATGTCCCCCCTCAGTCTCCTCTTCTCCAAATGAACATTCCCAAGGCATTTGGCCTTTCCTTGTAGGGCTCAGTCTCCAGACCCCTGATCATCCTCGTCAATCTTCTGCACCCATTGGGCTGAATCCTGATAACTTCCACTATAGGAAGGAGGGCAATTGTTGCCAAACCACCCCCTGCTGAAAAGCTCTAATTTGCCCCATCCCCTAGGAGCAGCATTATGGGGAAATCAATGGGTTGCAGTGGAATTCTAGTCTGCTACAGTAAGTAACTTCCGTTAGAAGTTGTTGGCATGCATCCAACAAACTGCCTGTTTGTGCTAAGTTTTCTGCTCATTAAAAGTACATGACACTTTGAAGTAGAGATTGTTCCGCTATCTTCAGATTGCCTAGAAAGTTCCAAATCAATCATATTCAGACAAGCTCTCACATATTCCAGTTGTCAATATCTGCCTGGTTTAACATAATGTCTGTATACACACTCACACAACTCTAAGAATTAATTAGACCACTCCTTTCCTTGTTAAGTGTTTCTCTGCTACAGCTATTACTATGAACTGACTTTCAACACCATACCATGCACATATGAAGAACAGATTTTAAGCTGCAGAATGAATAACACAGCAGCTATTGTCACTTCCAAAATTCATGCCAGCTTGAAAAGGCAGAAGGGAAACCAAGGACAGTGACAAAAACAGTGTCATTCCCGACTAGCGGGAATGACTAATGACTCCTGGTTCAACTAACAGGTCAAATATCCCATGAAGCCTGAGCTAACATTGTGTGAGCAGCAGTTTGGAAGGCACACAGGTTCCTCCCATTCTAGTAGTCCCCTTTGAACCCCAGAAATATCCATCTTTGAGGTGGGGTGGGTCACAGGACCTGCACAGAGGAATGACCACATGGGCTGGGGTGTTGCAATGAGGAGGAGGAGGAGGAGGAGAAAGGATGTGAAACTGGAGCTGTGCTTGCAGAACAGACTTAAGGAATGAGCTCAGTCTCCTTCCCTCTTCCTCTGTGGAGTGACCCAACCCATGCAGTGATTCCTCCACATGGTTAGATACAGCCTGGTAAAATTTATTTGCAATGTTGGGAGTGAGAACTGCTTGTACCCCAAACCCCAAATTTAGGGGCAGACCTAATAAGCCAAGCAATCGTCTTCGTACTGGCCAATAAGAGAACTACAGGCAAACCAAAACAATTAGCAGCAGTGCTTAGAGGTACCTGCAACTCCATCTGGCTTGCTTGCAGGAAGGAAGTAGGACGTGAAGAATTCAACATGAGTAACTGTTTATATATTTTCCAAGGCTACCTCTCAAGCCTGAAAGCTAGTCAGTGAAGGCTCCATTACAGAACACTCTGTAGGCTCTTGTTAAATTCAACAGAATGTTGAATTAGCGCTATCTTTTAAATATCCACCACTTACTATTCACAAAACCTGTGTTTAATATGTAGCATTTAAAGCCTCAGGGCAGGAACAAATAAGGTCCTTCAAATCAAGTTTTTAAACTGATTACCGTTTTCAGTTGCAAAATTCAAGCATTTCCATAATTGTAATTTGACCATTCAAAAAACAGAAGTGAGCTTTCCCAAGCTGACTGGGGAAAGCATGCATCTAGTGATGCAGCACCAGGGTCAAGAACATTTATGCCAGCACATTTGTTGGGTGATTTTTGTAGTTTTTCTCTACTACACACTGATACACACCCCATCCCCGGAATTTCCCCAGCTTAGCATGCACTATAATGCAAGCTGATTTACATGCAAACAAAATACATGACAACTTTGACTTGCCAGTAGACATGGAAAAGGCAGGCCACTTAATGCCCTGGCTCACAACTGTACTGTGCCTGAGTCAGAATGCCCGTTATCCACCTGTACCAGTGCAATTAAGCCAAGATTTCCAACCTAATCATGCAATGTAAGCAAGAGACCATCTCTTTAAAAAAATTATATTCATTACTGATCTTACAGTAACAAAATCCTTAACACCCTCTAATAAATATGAAAAAATTTTGGTTGTGACTATAACTTCTGTATTGTGATGTACCCATTTTAGCAATAACCGTCAACTCAAGATATCTGGTTCTGTTCATGCCATTTAACATTTTAAAGCATGCAACAGCACTATCATCATACAAGCCAATTTATTCTCAGAAACAATTCCCTTCACATGGCTAACAGCAGTACAATGGATACTGCCTTTGTTGCATTTAGGGATGGGCACGAAGCAACTGACACATCACAAATTTTGGGCAGTTCGTGAAGTGATGTTAGTGAACTGAAGAACTGGAACAAACTTTCACAAATGTTGATGCAGTTTGTGAAGGTTTGTGAAGAGCAAATTTCTGCTCTTTGGGAAAAATAGATCCCCATTGCTCAGGTATTTTGTTTAAATGGCTGAGAGCCATTTAAGCTGGTGCTTTCTGCTCCCCCCAAATCCCAGGGAGAACAGAAAGCAGGGAGCCATTTAAACCAAACAGCTGACCAGTGGGGAGCTCCCTGCTCCTCAGCTGTTTAGTTTAAATGGTTTTCAGCCATTTCATCCCCTACTTTCTGCTCACTCCCAAAAGCAGCGGGTAGCAGAAGCAGGGGTTTTAACTTTAAATGGCTCACAAACCGATACAAATCGGGTTGGTTTGCGAGCCAACTTCCCAGTTCGTATGGGTTTGTCATTCGATTCATGGTTCTGCCATGAACGATGAACTGAACCACAAAAAATGCTGTTTGTGCTCATCCCTAATTGCATTTACTCAAGCCTCTCTATGTTATAGAGCATCAGTTCATAGCATTTTTTCTAAACTTGGCCAAGGGTCATCTTTGACTGCCATGAAAAATGCTGTCTTCAACTGTAGTCTGAAAGACTGGTAATGATTCCTCTGAAGTTCCTCTCCCTAGCCACAGCCTCCTTAGTAGACCACATGCATTCCATGAATATATCAAAAATGGGCAATGCTTTGGCAGTCCTGGAGTAGTAGGAAGCTGCAGGTATATGCTGCAATATACCCGTGAAGCTTGTCCACATCAGTGAATAACCACAGAATTAATGGAACGTGTTGCAAGTTGGACAGAATGGCAACCACATCAGGGTTTGCTGGTCTGACCCTCATCTCCTAGCGTCCTCTGTGTACAGCATCGCAAACATACAGAATCAAGTATCCGCTTTCTCATGCCAACCTGACTCAACACAGCTTTTGTCCTCTCTGTCAGGTTAACTTAATGCTTGGAACTCCATGGTATTTTATATCTGCATTATTAATTGAAGTAACATATTCTGCTAGCAGCAAATGTGGAGCTGCTCAGTTTTGTTGACAAGCAGTAGCTGTGCCAGTAACTTGGCATCCATGATGGGGCAACTCTCCACCTCAAAGTTTTCTTTTTTGCACTCAATACTTTTAGGCTGTGACATGGGCTAGCCATACTATACTTAACCTATCTACCTGTCACAGGTGTTGCAAGACAGTCAGAAAGTTGAACTAATGTACAAATATTCACTGAAAATATCCAAACGATGATAGTGTCATCCCGTATCATGGCAGTCACTTTTATGGCTGCATCTGCAAGTTATACTAGAGCCTTGTTGCCAGATTGCATTTCACTGATTGGGACAAAAAGGTGAGGGTGTGGCTAATTTTCATATCAGGAAAGACTTCCATCTTGGGACTTGGCATTGTATATACACCTAGTCAACAAAATTCTGTAATCCTTCAGTTTTGCAACACTGCCATTCTACCTTAGAGATTTCTTTCTGAAGAATAATAGCTTGTTCTTCTGTATTGGTTCTGTAACTCACTCCACTGTCCTCTTTAAGAGGCCATATTGCTCCTGTGTTCTTATTTGACAACTAGAAATAATGCCCGTTGCGGAAATAAATACAACGGGATCTAGAAAGAGGCTCTGGGAGAGTGCTCTGGCTTTGGGCAAACAGTGTCAGTTTCCTGTGGCGACCTCAGCAGGGTTTAATGACAGAGTCCACTGTTTTCTCCAGAGGGACTGATCTCTGCTACCTGAAGAGCATTTGTATGTTTGAGTTATCTGTAGCCCTCACCTGGAGAGTGGTAACCATTGTTACCCATTCTCCTCTCCCCTATGAGGTATGTTATGCAACTGAAAATCCCAACTGCCTTGCGGGGGGGGGGGAGTTTGAGGTGTGGAATGGACTGAAGTCCAATCAGCTTCCATATGCAAAAGA